CAGGTGGGTCTCGAACCCGTGGGCTCAGGCAATCCACTCACTTCAGCCTCCCAAAGGCACCGGATTACAGGCTGAGCCACCGAGCCCGGCTCATATTCTTACTCATAAGCAGACCTTGAACAATTATCATAGTACTAGAAGAAAAGGATTGGCAGCAGTGGGAAGCTGCTGGGAGTGGGGCAGGGAAGCGATATTGGCAGTAGTGGGAATCTGCCTGGGGAAAGGTGGGTACACCTCATCAACAAGAGTACCTGCATAATGAACATATTTATACCTAACCCTGAATTGTACACCATATCATTAAAATAAAAAAATTAAAAGTTAAAAAAAAGAAAATTTTCTAATAATTAAATTATTGAGTCAAGGAAAATCAACAGATTTTAACTCACCGAGTTCTGGACACAACTGCTTGGCCTCTGCAAAGCTGTGCAGTGCTTGGTCAGACCTGTAACAGTGGTCCCCATGCTGGATCCACTGTGACCCATTCGTTTTTGCTGCTGGACATCTTAACGAGTATGTATGAGGGGACAGCTGTTTAGCTATAAAAATGTTAGACACAGTTGTAATAATGCACAGAAAAAAGTGACTGCCTTTTAAAATCATTAAATATCCCTGTTTGAAACTGTTGCTTTTGTGGGTAAGAAGCACTTAATATACACACCAGAAAAAAACCACAGCCCATACTCTACAAATACACATTCTAATTAGCTTTTTGGAATATCATTTTAAAAGCTTAGAAAACAGAGGGGGAAATTACTTAGCCCTCTAAGACTGATTTAGACTAGAAGTCTAGTAAACACAACTAGAAGGGCAGACTGGAAAAAGAAGCCTTGGCAGGCCGGGGAGGCCTGAAACTACTCTGAAATAGTAATTAACAGTCTTTATTTCCTTAGATTCCTTTTTATTTTGGAAATATAAACCTACTTTTACCTAGTCATCTAGGAAACTATTTTTTAATAGTAATAAAATGATAATTTGGTTTTACAAACAATAATATATCAGTATAGCAAAACCTCTCTCAAACAAACTAAAAAGGCTTCTCCGCTCTTAAAAATGCCCCTGGTTCCACTTAAATTGTTTAATTGTTAATGTGCTGAGTAACACAAACAGTCTGTGTAATGAAGCTTGTGCCCCTTAGTGCGTGTTATTAATTCCAACAGAAGAGCGGATGAAAACTGGATAGTAAGTTGTCAGCATCCTATTGGTGAGGTGCAGATGGTCTCAGTCAAAGACCAGACCTAGGACCGGTCAGCAATCTCAACCAAACCATTGCTTTGTAATGCATTCTATATGGTCTGTGTGTCCTTCAATAACTGAAGGCTCTTCCTGCTTTTTTCTCTAGGTCTCTGGTAGAATCTTTATTTATGGTCGTTTGTGATTCCAAAATGGCTGCTGGCGTTTCCTTCTTCATCAAGAGACTCTGGTGGCCTTTAATTCCTTCTCCTGCTTTTCTACCTTCTGTTAGAAACCAGGCTTGATCTTATAACTTGAGTTATTTGATTGGCTTTTGTCCCCATTCTTCCCTCAATGCTACCGATTTGAAAGCTTAGTCACCCTTCAGTTTGACAGTTGGACGTCTGGTTAAGTTTTTCAGCTGCTGCTGATCAAACCTCATCTATAAAGTCTATAAAACTTCTGACAGGCTGGGCACGGTGGCTCAAGCCTGTAATCCCAGCACTTGGCCAAGGCGAGAGGATTCCCTGAGCTCAGGGATTCACGACCAGCCTGAGCAACTTGGTGAGACCTCATCTCTACAATAAATAAAAAAATTAAACCAGGCAAGGTGGCGCATGCCTGTCTTGGAAGGCTGAGACGGAAGGATTGCCTGAGCCTAGCAGGTCGAGGCTGCGGTGGCCATGAGTGTGCCACTGCACTCCAGCCTG